CCAGAGCTACTCTGGAACTGTCCAGCTCAAAGCATGTGTATGTGCTGCAGTGGCCTAGTGCAAGTCCAGAACCTAATCCAATCAAAAAAAACAGTGCTGGGACTTAAACTTTTGTCGTTCAGACGCTCTCCATCCAAACTGCCAGAACTTGTGCTGGTTCATAAAGGAGAATAAGTAAAGTTTAAGTCTCAGATGTGGACGAAGCGGGTGGAATGAAAAAGTTTCAGCTATAACTGCAGTAAGTTTGTCTCTGTAGGCTATTACAGCCCATTTTCAGATTTTTAATTTTTTTTATTTCATAAAGAAAAAACAAATAATCCTCTTACCACTTCAGAGTTAGTCTTTTCTTAGATTAAATAGGTTATATAGTTCGTAGGTGCACATAATCTGAATAAATGCATCAGTGTTTATGATTCCAACTTAACAAAATTTGAAAAAATCCCAGGGGTATGAAGCCTTTCGCAGTGGTCTGTGTGAACGTGATAAACCAAGGGATTTTGTGCGTCCTGGTTGATAAAGCCTCTCAATCAGACAAAGTCAATGACAGACTTTATTTCACTCTGCGTTGTCTGTAGAGGCTCCATCCTCAACCTCGAGCTTAAGCTATTATAAGTACTGATGTGCAAATATTTATTTTTATTTAACCACTAGAATATACTGCTAGCGTGACAGGCCAGTTATTAAAAACACAGCCACAGTTTGTGATAGCCACATAGAGACCATTAATCACAGCGAGCACATTAATTAAACCTTCCCCTTTTCTTTCTCTGCCCTCTTCTCTCTGTCTCCGTCTCTCCTCTGCTGGAGCACGCAGACTCTTGGTCTACATCCTTACTGCCAATTATTCTTTTTTAAAAGCGAAACTTTCACTGAGACAAAAGGAAGCTAAATATATTGTAATTTGTTGTTGTTCTTCCCTTACCCCCACCTTTTGTTGTTTTTTCTCCTTTTAAAAAATTTCCAACATGCTGACTCAGATCAGCATGCATGGAATAAGCAGTGGCAAATTAATTAGAATCACTGTGGTGTTGTGCTGGGCGATTATCTTTAAGCTATCCACATCAGGATTAGCCAAATCAGAACTGGGGTTATTATGACTCCAAAAAAGGCTTAACTCTGGGATAGAAAATGCACTGATGTGAACATGTTTTTTCTTTTTTATTTTCTCCCATTTCCCTCTCATGACACTCCTTAATTTGAGTTAGCTCTTGTGGAAACGAATTTGCAATCTTCTGGGAGCGTCGGAAATTATTAATGAGGTTGAAATCTATTCCAATCAGTCTGGACTCTGTATGTGCAGGTAATTCTCTAAAAATTAATATGTGCAATACTGTGGCGATATGTAACCTTCACACACAGGTCCACATGGGGCCCCGCATATTAACGACATTGAGTCAAACATCTCATTTCAGGACAGCAGGTGCCGAGCGCTCGCGTGGCCAGAAGCTACCTGACACCGCGTCTTTAACTTTGTTTCGGGTGGCATCTGCTGAGACGTCCTAGCGAACGCATCCTCCGCGTTTCAGGGGACAAATAAAAGGAGGAGGGAAAGAGAGAGCGAGGAAACAGGAGGTCGGCGGCAGCGGAGTGTCACAAGCTGCGGGAAGGAAATCCGCACGCCCTCCTTCTATCTCGCAGCTCATTATCGTATTTTAAAGGAGCGGCGCCCCATACATTGTATCCTCCCCTCCCTCCTCAGTTAATTTAAGGACAGCAGATAGCTCATTAAGATTGATCATTCCTCGTCCACCTACTCCATGCAGGACCCGGCACTGCCTCCATTAATCACTGGGATTTCGAGATAGAGCTCGGTGGCAGTGTAGGGCCCGAAGCCTGACAGCCCGGCTGCTTTATGCATAATCACAGGCGCGGCGCTTCGCGGCCCTGGAGCAGCCGCCCAGCATTCTGCCTCGCAAAGATGGTCACCGCATCTTCACCTCTTTCCAATCTGTCATCTCACCAACCTGTCACTTCGACACAACCTATTTGATGCAGTTTTTCTTCATTTAATCGTTTTTCTTCATTTAACCATCTAAGATTCCCCAAACTTCCTAGTTTATGCTTTTTTTTAACCTGCCCGCTGAATAATCCATATTTCTCCGTCTTTCCCTGTAGATTTATTTTACAGTAAATGTCCAGACACACATTCCTTTTCAACAACTATACAATTATAATAATAAAACATAATTCTAGGCCAATTAGGAGTTTCAAATAATGGATTTCACAAATTATAGTGTTTAGTGTTTAAAGATCTTCTCAATAGCCTATTAGTTTCCACATAGTGAATATCATCGATGTGTAAGGATCGACACAGAATCACAGAATACCCAGTTTTGTCAAAAGGAAACAACTTTTACTTTTACTGTACTGGAAGAGCAATTGGATTGATGTTTGGTATTCTGAGGCATTTCTCATCCAGTCTAAAAGACTTAATCCTTGAGTAATGCATAAGATATATCTGATATATTTGCATTCCTTATTTTCTGTAAATGTCCGCCACTCTTATGCTAATGGTAGCGCCCCATTCGTTCTGCATAATTAGGACCTACTAACTGGATGGTTTGATTTCCTGTTTACAGGGATTGGCCTTTTATTTAGATAAAAAGGCTGAAGTGTATTTTTCTCTGATTTCAACTCTTTGAAAAGATTTTAGTGTCAGTGACTCTCTCATTGCCCTTACAGTCATACAGAATAAAGAGAATAAAAAGTATTAATTAGAATGAGCAGCCAAAGACAAGGTTGTATCCTTGAGTCAGAAATAATTTGCCATTCTTTCATCTGAATTATTTCTAAGCAGCCTTCAAATTTCATTTCAATTAAGTTTTTTTTTTTTTTTTTGTCATTTCTTTCAGGCTGAACTTGTAGCTTTGTTTTTTTTTCTTTTTTGTTTTTCTCACTTTAATTTTACAAATTTGTATTTTATTTAAATTTGTTTTTTTGTTGTTGTTGTTTTTTTTTAATCTAATACTATGTTGGACCTGAAACAAACACCTTTAAACTCTGACTTTATGTTGTTATTCACATACGATAAATGTGTAAACTTCCCAGATTTACTCTTGAATTGATACATATTTGTCATGATTTTTTAAGACCATAACTCCAGTTTATAATTTCATAATTTAGTAATCTATAGGTGACTTACAATCCTCTGCCTCCAGCAATATACATATCTAACAGAACACCGAAGCTTTGACGATCATGAAAAGACGCTGAAACGCGTCTTTTCCAATGCTATTAGTAGTAATAATGTGAAATCTGATTAGCAGAGTTGGGGCAAAGCTAGCGAAGTTTGGTGAGCAATTACAGGTTAACACAAAAAGGCAAGACACCCACATGTATTCACAATTACACCCACATAGAGTTTAGTCACCAATTAACCGAACATGGATGTGTTTAGACTGTGGGCGGAAGCTAAAACAGCTGGAACAAATCTGCAACAGGAACTGGGGAAACATGCAAACTTGTTTTATTTTAGTCTTGCTTTGAATCTTGTTCCTCAAAGCTTGACCATGCTGCAAGTTATTAAAGATGCTTAAAAGGCGAACTGGACTTTCTGAGCGGTGAGACACTTTTGCACAATTAGGTTAGGTCAGACGTTTACATACATCAACAGCAATGTCGTAGTAATTTGGGACCAAATATTTTCACTGTTTTTGACCATAGTGGAACAAAGACGCAACCTAAAAATTCAACATGAACTACTCCGGAATCGGTTATCAGCTTTGTTAGCAGAGCAGATGTTGCAAGGAAGGTAAGTCAGTAGTGGGTGTTTTTATCTAATGAGAAGTCATAATTGCAACACAGAGAGAAGTTGTAATTGAAACAGCAGCAGATGCTCTGTAACACTACAGCAAAAAAAAAAAAAAAAAAAAAAATGGGGGGAACAAAAAAAGGAAAAAAGACAGCTAATGTCGACACCATGCTCACTTATCCGAGTGGATTGCCTAACTTTTCTCTACCTAGAAACTTTTAAATGGGTTTGATAATGCATGCAGGCATCTAATAAATACTAATGACAGGACTAGACATTAGCGAGAACCGCTGCCCTCTCCGACTCATTATTCCACAGAGTTAGCAACAGGCTTTGCATGTGAAGACATAATTCTCCCGTGACTTAGATAAATGATAATGGTCTGCACTGCAATCAAGTGATCTTTGTTGGCTAGTAGTGCTCTCCTTAAGCCTGAAAGCCTTCTTCAGCCATAAGGACGAGGTGCTGAAACAGGAACGTGCCGTTGCTTCTATTAGATTCGTCGAAAGTGTTTCTTTTCTAAAAGCTGCGGCTCTTTTATGGTTGAGCATTATTATCATTATGCTGCACCCAGGTCTCAGATACAGCCTCTGTTTTTTTTTCATGTACCCCCTTGCTCTGCACTGAAGGCTAAAAAAGTATTATATTAGAGATTAAAACTTAGATTACAACTTCACAAGGACACGCCAGCAATACATAAGCACTGAAGCATGCTGTGCACAATCAGAATTTGTGGGGCCTTCTAGTCACCCAACAGATTGTTTTCTATCCCTGGAGAGAAAAGGTGGAAGGGAGGGAGGAGCGAACTGAAGGTGGGAAGAATGGAGGAAAGAAGCAAAGATGGGGCTTGGGGTGGGGGGGTGATGAAAAGCAAAGATTACTCGCCTGATTCCACTCTGTAGGCTGTGGAAGCTCATCCCAGGCGTGCAGTCTGCCGAGAAGACTCCCACATACCTTCTAACCCCTCTACTAACCTTTCTGCTCGAGCTGCTATGACTTTCACAAAGTTACACAGTAAACACATATCCTCTGTCTTCAGGGGGAGATGTGACATTTATCTTAAGCTGCTCTGGTGACATGGGATTTTCTCTTCCTTGTACCTTTTTTTTTGGTGTTTTTTGGGGGGGTTGGTGGGATGAACAGTACAGGTGGCTTGGCCTTCTTACGGTTTAGGGCAGCCTGGAAGGTAACGCAGTCACCACAGCGTAAAGCCAAAGTGGAACAAGCCAAACTCATAAACACATCCGAGGTGAAAGACGAGCTGGGCAGCTAGCTGACATTTTCTCACACCCATAATCGGACGCCAGTACATGCCTCAGTCCGAAGGCCGAGCGAGAAGGCCCAACACAGCTGCCTTCAAGCCACCCACAACTTCAAACTTTTTGAGCTTCAAAGCTTTTTTTCCATTTTCATTTTATTCAATTGAATGAACAAAAGCAGGTTTTTATCTACATACAGTACAAACTTTTTTTTTGTCTGCTTTTGGTAAGGTCTTCCTCTTCTTGCCCTTTTAAGAAAATCTTTTGCAGGAACTTCTGCTGTGGTTACATTAGGCTTCCACGGCAGCAGCAGTTGCTCAGCTCCAGTTTTCGGTCTTGTTTGCAACCCCCTGAAATGCTCCGTTAGTAACCTGTAAATACAACAAATACACACTTTTAGGGGACCCCGTTTGTCTAGCAGCATCTCAATAAACGAAAATATCGAAAACATTACTTACATTAGCAATTGAGCTAAAAAAGTGAAACTCTTGATGTATGGATTCATCACGCAGAGAGAGAGGGAAACCTAAAATGAGTTTTTCACAAATGAAGAGGATTATGCAAGATTAACTAAAATGCTTTTTTGTGTTATTGCCTAACAATCACAAGAAAGACTGTAGAGCTGAGTTGTCCAGCAGACGGTCACTGACATTCATTGCAAGGAATGCAACTCTGTCTCTAGGAAACATAATAATGGAAAGTTGAGTGGAAGGAAATGGTCCTCAAGCACAAAGTTAACCACATCTGAAGTGCAACTCTGATGTGCACGTCAGATGCGCATCAGAGTTGCACTTCAGATGTGGTTAACTTTGTGCTTGCAACCCCCTGAGTTGTGCATCTGTAAAGACAAAACAAGTCACATTCAAATGTATACTAGACATAGGCTACAACTTTGACATTATTTGTGGTGAGCCAACCCTGAATGAGAGATGTCAGAAGCATCTTAGGTTTTATCTGTAGGTAACTATAAATAGACATTTTGTATTTGTTTTTAATTTTTGTGTAAATAAACTTATAGTTATATTATGAGCCTCAGAACAGCCACAAGAAATCATTTATTTACTGATTTTTCCTTCTTTGGAATTTGAAACAGATATTCAATAGAAGAAGCTTATTCTGTATGGATGACTTTTCCTGAATATTTTAATAGAAATTTTTCCTCAGATGTGTTTTTGGGGCTTACAAAGGCTGAATCTGAACTTGGTACATTTCCTTTTACAATCGCTCCGTCTCGCTTTCCTTTATTTTAGCACACAGTTCATCACATTAGGTTTCCCAGTGTCCATCTGCGCTTCCTCTGAGAAAATCTCCTTTCGGGAAGAAACTCAGACTGCAGATGATCAGCACATGTGGACAGACTCCCTAACTTTGAGCCTTGAGGCAAGTTTTGCATTTGTAGTCATCCTGATAGGAGATGGGTTAATTTCAAATCTCTGCCTCACTGAGCTCTTAGAGAAGTGCTCCAGTTGAAACTGCAAATGGTAGTAATATATTTTGGGTGGTTTGGGGGGGTTGTGCTGAACAACAACCTCTAGATGATTCACAAAGAGGCTGCAAAGGTGCTTTTAAAGGCTCTGAAATGAATCTCTTCATGATTCATTTTTCTCAATTGGCCTGTTTTTTTCCTCCAGGGTTTATTATGCAGATCAAGACAACACGACACACCCTCCAGCAGTTTATAAAAGTTTAACTTAACCGTAATTAACGGTGAAGACAGAGAAGTGTTGGACAACCACTCGGCTGTTGTCAGATCCTCTTCCAGGATACAGTATGTTATCTTCTCCTGAAGACAGCTTTGCTGTTAGCGTTCGGATTATTTTCAGGTGACATTGTTTTTCCCATAGCTTGGCGTTTATGCATGCAGACATGCTTATGTGAAATTTCATTAGCATAGTGTCCACATATGCATCTCTGCGCCTCTATCTCTGCATCAGGGCCCGCTCGCTGTCCACGGTGACATTGTCCTTTGACTGCAGGGAGGATGGATTACTGAACCCTGAGCTAAGCTTGACAATGTCGTCCTTTGTGATGCATTGGATGAATGTTTGCTCTTTTCTGATATAAGCTGCCTCGCAGTCACATTTTATGTCCTTTCAATTTCGTCTTGCGTGAAAAAACACAGACGTAATTCTTTAGCAGGGTTTTATAAAATAGATCAGCAAAAAAAAAAAAAAAAAGTAGAAGAGGAGGAAAGATTATGCATGGCTTTTAAAAATCTTTGCAGAAAAAAAATTCATTTGGTTTGTGTCTAGACATTGTGTGTCTGGAAACTAAACTTTGTGCTTTGGTAACAGTTCCACAGTTACTGTGACTGTATATTAGACTGGAAGAGTTGAACCTCTGTCTCATTTTCAAATCTATTACAACCTCTAAAAGTTTTTGTTCCGGAAATGTTTTGTGTTTAGCTCCAGCCATCTCGTCATGCCTGACCAGCCTCCCTGTACCAGACAAACAAAGAGACCCCCACAGCATGATGATGCCCTCACCATATTTCATGGTTTCAGAGCAATACTCTGAAACCATGAGTAATACTGCATGTACTCAGAGCAATATGCAGTATTAGTTTTCACCACACGTAGCATTTTACCTCTAGACCAACAGGTAAAACATTGCTCTCATCTGACTCATCTTTTTTGAAGCATATTTTCGTAGATTCTCTAAAGGAGTCTGTTTTCAATAAGGCTTTCAGTCCTCCATGATTATCAAACCAATCAATGCTGAAGACTCATGGATAAAGTAAGAATGTGGAAATTTAGAATGGCAGAATTTGAGTGGTTTTTAGTTCGAATAATCCACAGCATCATCAGCCCTTTCTGCAAAGTAAATTTCCATTTTTACTCCATGTGTTGAAGGCCATCTCTTTTCATTTTAAACAGTGCGGCTCCATTTTAATGCACGGTTTGTGATGGAGCTAAATAAATCGAAACTCCAGTGCTGCAAAGTTTCTGCTTCTGTATAAATATAAACACATCTGCCAGGAAAAAAACAGCCAAAAATCCAGATAGCAATTTGGTTCTGACAGAAAGGGTGATTGTTTACATGGAATACATTCTGTTCGCTACCTGCTGTTACGAGGTGCCACCAGTCTGTATGGCAGGCTGTCATAGCTTAAAATTTAATCATCCCCAGTGCACACATTTGTCCTCTCCCAGGGGGAAAAAAACTATCCAAAAGTTCTCCCTTTCTAAATAAAAATGGTTGCACTATTTTATAATTATTGGCTTTTTCAGTGCTCATTATATCCTATTTCTTTGTGTCCCTGGCCCACTCGCTTGAGTAATTCTGTGACTGAATCAACCTAGCACATTTAGCTGCCTTCCAGGTTCCTGTCGGAAATATAACATCATGTGGTCCAGATTAGATGAATCATCTCAGCGAGAACATAAACATTTCAAACAAACATTGATTCCTCGGACACTGGAATGTCAGCTTTTCAGTGCATCAAGTATGTTTTGTGGACATTTCATAAATGTATAAAAGTATTAATTTAGATTTTTCTCACATTTAAATCCCTTTTGTTTGGATTTTATGCAACAGATTTACACAAAGCAGTGTATAGCTGCATATTGGAAGAAAAACATATGCATGGGTTTCATTTTTTGGAGATTCACCAATCATAACGCCTCAAAAATTCCTCTTGTGAAGAATCATCAATTATTTATGCCAGCAGCAGAGGAGCACATTGAATGTGTGTGTATGTGTGTGTGGGAGAGAGCAGTCATTTAGGTATTATCTATCAAATCATTTTAACGTATCTTTAGTATCTGGTAGTGGTGAGGAGCAGAAAGTAGCTCTTAACTCTGACATTTCCAGGAAGCCGCCACCGCTTCCAAATCCGGCATGTTCCACGACAGACCGGGGGAAAAGCTCAAAAGGATAAAACTGAGCAACTTTGCTGTAATATGTTCAACCTTCTTGGTACTTGCTGAAAGTTATTCACCCTCTCGGAGCTTTGAATGAATCAGAGACATGTCTCGGGTTTGTTATTGAAAACACAGTTTCCTATTAAATAGCTTCTTACATCTCTGTGCTTCCTCTGACTTCATTTCTAACACCTTCCTGATCCTAAAAACGGCTAACAGCAAGTGTTTCTTACTCTGTAATAGCTTTCACACCAAAGCCATTACTGTTGCTTCTCTGACTTGGGTAGCACTCAGGTATGGTGTGTTCACTGTCAGAAAAAAAGATTATTTTTTTTAAGTTTCCGACTTGCTTCTCAATGGTCATGAAATATCAAAAGACCAATAAAACATTGTGACTCATTTTTTACGCAGGTTGGATCTTCTCAGGCAGTAATTTATAGCTCCAAAACAAAAAACTTAAGTTGTTTTTATTTTTGCCAGCAACAAAGCCTTAAAACCGTAGGAAGGATGTGTTGGGTATTTCTACTTCAGTACTTGAACTTTTTAATGCAAAGTGCCTGAAGTATTTCTGTCCTTGTGCCTGCATTGCAGCTCCTCAAAGAGGGAAGGAGCATGTCGGGGCTCCTGTTTGCAATCCACAGGAGTATCCTCTTGTTAAAACTTGACTATGACCGCTTGTCAGACACTGTACCCCCTACCTGCCTAATGAGGAAGCCACTGTACCAGCTGGGACCGGAGATTTTTTATTTATTTATTTTTCTCCATCCCCTCAGTGAACACAAAGAACAGAGCACATAGCATGACATCCTGTCACAATGTTGCAGCAGGCCTTTGGGTGCTCTCTGGGCATCTTTGTTTGTGCTCCATCTTCTGAACTTGTGCTGGTGTTTGCTTCAATTTACTTTCACAGTTGCCAGCTGTTTGTCTGTGTATGCACATACACTTGGCCCCTCCACTGGTGGGTCCTTACAGAGGGTCTGGGCATATAGTGCAGGACAGAGCAACTTGGTTTCTCTGTTGTTTTTTTCTGTTGCTGCAGGTTTTTTTGATGTGTATTGTGGAAGGAAACAAAGGCCCAGGCGGCGTCTTTGAGGGGCACAAGTTCCTTTTCTCTTTGTCTCCCCACGGCTCAGTCCAGGCCAGTTGACAGCCGCGGTGAGGCTCCAGCAGTGCAGCACAGAAGTTTAAAGCAAGAGGGGTAGGGGGGAATAAAGCGCCCTCATCATGGACTATTCTCTAAGGCTATAAGGCGCCTGTGCTCTCCTACAGATTGAAATCAGGACAGCTAGAATCTCAAGGGGTCTTGAGGATTTCTGATGATGTGCACGAGCTGTTCTGCTTAGAGTAGGCAAAGGCTGTTGAGATGTCTCCAGAAATGAATGTGGCGATGATTGTTCGAGGTGTGTTTTAGAGTCTGTGACGAGTAATGGCACATTGAAGCGAAATTGGGTTGCGCTTGAGATGTGATGGCTTTTATCCACGTGAAAAGCTCTGTTTGTTCCAGCAGATGGGATCTCCATGAGTTGGCGTGATGGTGTTGATGTTATTTTGCACCTGTTAAAGTCTGACATTTAGCCATCGAGCGTTTTGAGACGTTCATAATGACAGCGCGAGGGAGTGACTGCTGATGAACCATTCAGCTTGGGTAGTGGTTATCCCCTTC